ACCTGCCCCAGAAGTGACCCACATGGTGCCGCACACTCCTCCTGACCTGCCCGCTGCTCCCCTCAGCAGTGTACTTCTTCAATCTGCCTGTTCTGCTCCTCATTCTGTCTCTGGTGAACCCTGCGCCTCTAGCCTATACCTCAGCTATGTATGCATAAATAAATAAATCTTAAACTATATATATATATATTCTAAGAAACACTGGTTTTATGGTAAATATAACTTCAATAGCATTGGAACAAAGTACTGTGCATCAATATTTGCGGGTAATAGCTAAAACAGAATTTAGGAGTAAACAGTAGTTTTAAACACATTTAAATTTTAAATACATAGCGTTTTCTTAGGGTAAATATAGTCCTTTTTAAGAATAAATGTTTAAAATATTAAATAAATCATGAAATAGAGGCTGTTCCAGAAAGCAGTTGACACCAATAAATATATTATGCAATATGCCTCAAAACAATTAGAGAACTATATTTCAAAAAATAAAACTTCCTAAATTGAATCCTTAACTACCAAGCAGTATACTTTTTATGCAATGAGTTTATAAACGATGTTAACAATAAATTATTGACAAACGTGTGGACAGAATTTTATAGTTAATTTTTCTCTTATTCCTAATTGTTGCTTAGAACAATCTTATGAGGCAGGTCTCATAAGCTATCATTCTGAGTCTTTCTTCTAAAATTGGGGATGTGGAGAAATGGAGCATCACCCCATTACACATCTGAGGACCACAGCGAGCAAAGAATTTGAATAACTTGCACCAAAACCCACAGATATAAATTGCTAGAAACTCAACAAATATTCATTTAAAGATATTGATTTTTTTCTGTTTCTTAGAAATATTTCATTTTCTGATAGTATTCTTTACTGATTAAATGTAGATATATAAAGTTCATTGGAAAAATAGACATATTTTTAATATTGTAGTTTAGTGAAACAAATATATTGGAGTATCATATAGTTATTTTTTTGGTAGAGCGATTTCCAGGTACCCAGTCATCATCCACACTAGCTAACTAAGTCTTCTTTTAAACCTTTAGGTCAGGAATCACTGCATGTCAGAGTTAAAAACTAAGACATAAAAAGACTTAAGTTTACTTAGAAAGTAACTCATACCTAGTTTCATGTTTGTAGACAAGAAAACGTATGCATGACTTTTATACATAATGCAAATAATTGGATTAAAAGTTCTACGCCTTCTGATAACAGGCAAAATAGAGGCAGGAGTGCTTGACAACTTGAATTGACTTAATAAATTCTGACACTGTAAAAGGAGCTTTCTTAATTGTCCCATCCTAGACCCTTAAGGTTATGTTAATAAAGCTATATCCTTTTTTAACTAGAAAAATTAATGGAAATAGATTCAACACTTTCAAAATAAGACCAACAAAATTATGGAATTTGCTTTGAGTTATGGAATTTGAGAGAGTTTCAAAATGAGAAGCAAGTGTTAAAGACAAGTAACAAAATGTGTTACTGGAAAGAACCAAAGAGACTGGAAGCAGAGAGGAAATTTCCTTCGACTACTCTGTGTTTTTGGGCTATTTAAGCATTCAACTAAACATCAGACAGATTATTAGGGGTAAAGAACTAATATAACTACATGAAGAATCTATATGGATGTTAATTCTAAAGTAAATGGGGCAAAAACAAGATACCTAATTTGAATTAAGGGCTGGGATAGGGGCCTGTATTATCAGTGAGAGAAGGCAGACTTCTACAGTAAAAGGGACGCTCTGCGTCCCTTCTATGGTAAAAGGGGCACAGAGTGTTAAAGCACTGCACTAAGAAGTTAAAGCCACTTCCGCCTCAGTTCGACCCCCGCCTGACCTGGAGG